GGTTGCTCATGAAATATGGGTCAAAGTGAAGGATTCATAAAGAAAATCGAAATAAACCAATTTTAATTATTTTGTAGAATATCTGAGGAAACATCTAAGACATTAATTTTTTTTTTCGGTGTTTTAACTTTGACGAAATTCGGTGTTGAATCCTTATATCCACGAAAATAGGTTACACCACTGTAATTTAACTTATTTTAAGATTAGGTGACTAAAACATTGAGATCCTGATAATTTGTCACACCTTTGATTAAATAGTCTTAGATTCAGCACAGAAACAAATGAGGCATGATTTATAAATTAATTTATAAAGCCTTAAAACAATTACATGTTCATTAAATGGGGTGTGTTTCGATTATTAATCGATTATGCCTCTCCGATTATTTCGATTAATCTTTTCATCCGATTGACCATCACTATATGCAATCTGCCCATTTGGACTTAAAGAAAATAATTTTACATAACAAATAAGACCTTTTTCTGCTGTTAAATCTGATTCGATTACCATAATTAATCAAGCGAATCAGATTTAGTCTGCAGGATATATGAAACTGAATATTTTTCAAGATGGCGGCTAACCATTATAAAGAATTAATATATATTGATGTTTTATGCCACTATTATCATTTAAAGTAAAGAAAAAAAGTCATACTGTTGTATTGATGACTCGGGCCTCCAAGTTTATGAGTAACTGAACCAACCCCTGTACAATACAATATTCAAAAAGGCCAAGCATTAAGGTAGGGATTGATTTTTATTATCAGATCAGACTTATGACATTCAAAAATTAAAGGTAACCAATACAGTACATTGTGAAGTAGGAATTACAGTAAAAGGCATAAAAGAGGATGAATAGTTAATATCACAGATTTTAGGATTCTCGCAAGAGTTTGTCAGCAGTGACTGGACAAAGATCTGAAACAAATTTGCTAACAAAGTATCAGGTTCAAATTAGACATTGTTTAAAGCTATCATGTTCTTGCTAAAACAATTGTGAATGGGTGAGTTCATTGTAACCATTGTTGTTTTTTCCAAATCAGGAAATTTCTTTTTCTTTAAAAACATGATGGCTTTATGCTTCCATCTTTTTTTGATCAAAATGTCTATCATCTATAGCCCAATCACCAGTCCATAGTTTGAAAATGTCTAAAAATTGAGGCCCAATCACTATTCCTTAGTTGATCATGTCTAAAACAAATGAAGCCCAATCACTATTCCTTAGTTTGAACATAATTATTTCAAATTAAAGCCCAATCAACACTCCAAAGTTCAAACAATCTTTCATTATTAACATATATAATCCAATAAACAGTCCTTAATTTGAACACATCTGAATAATAAAACCCAGGCAACAGTGCTTAAAACATGTCCTACAAATAAAGCCAATCCATGATAGGCCTATATAGACAAATTATTTGACATGTTAAACATACAGCTTAGGTTTGAGGATGTCAATCAAATAAAGTCGAATCAACAACCCTTGATAATTTGTTAATTAAAACATGGAAAACCATTAGTTAGCCTCTAAAGATCAATAGAAGCAATAAAGGAAAACACATTGAATAGTATGGAATGCTGAACATATAACTGTTTAAAGCTTTCAATTTTAAATCATAAACACTTAAAATATTTACAATTCAAAGGATTGGGGTTGAATCATAAAGCATTTATTTAACCCACTAATAAGATCACATACACAATGAAATTTGTGTATCATGTGAAAGATGTATAGATAACATGTCATAAATTAAAAACAAATCGTATCCAAGATGTAACTTCATCTACAGATTACAAAAGCAGCATCATAACAATTTCTTTAATTTCTATTAAACAATTTTATAGTATGGTACATTAATTTGAAAGCTCTGAGCTCCCTTGTGTATCCTACTTTCCAATGGCGACAAGAAGATTTATCCCTTTCACTGCAAAAATAATTAGAATCATACTAATTGAAATCCATGAATGGTACTGATAAGAAAACTAAAAGCTAATACTATCTAATAAAAAAATTTCCTGCAAGTAGACTTAGGATAAGAAAATGTAATATAAAAAGAATAAATTAAATATTTAAAACGTTGTGACTTCAAATTAATATCAATAATAATATGCCCGTTTTTATGTCAGTTGGATTTCTGGCAAACGTTGATAGATGTGTCTAAAATTATTGCTGTATTAACAATTCAAAGGAAATAACAAGTGTTCTGCTCTATACAGAAGTTAGTGTAGAAAGTTTCCCCATCAAATTACCATCATATTTCAAAGAAGTTTTCAATATTTTGAAAGTGAATTGTGGAGACTTGTGTAACATCCTTCTGATCCCCTCAAATCTTCAGTAGTAAACACAATCTATAATGATTCCATTCAAGAGTTTTGAGATAGTGACATCATAATCTGCTTACAATTTAATAAACAATATTGATTGCAAAAACCTTCAAATCATGTACAAAAATTTTAAAATTGTTAAAAACAAATCTTAAACAACCCTGATGCAAGCTGTAACAAATGTGCAGACAAAACAATTGAACACAAAAATATGAACTAAAACTTAAATTAAATGCTCTATATTACAAAATGAATGAGGTATTGATAAAACACCAAGGTATCAATTTTATTGTCCACCAAATGAAAAACTACTTGGCTTTGTAATTCATGTGCACTCCAATTAACCAGATAGATCTGATGTTGGAAATATTCAGATATCATAAATTTCAATTTGTAAGTGAAAAAGAACTCAAAAAAAGATCCAGTGTACTTTAACCTAATCTATTTATTAGCACCCTTTCTATCTGGGACATCTTGAAAGTTATACTTGATTCTAAGTAGTATCTAATTGTATGACATTCCCTATAAAGGTTATGATATAAATATATACAAAAGATTATATGTTTATTCTAAAGCTTTCTAAAGGGGAAATCACTTGTCAAAGATTGTCATAGCCTTCTACTTACAAGAAAATGCAAAATAAAATAAAATTCTGTGAAACACGAAAGTGTTACTTTAAAAGAAATTGTGACTTGTAAATTGTGGCCTCTAAAATATTGAGCCGAGTCATTGCTTCAAATCAGATAAGTGTGATACATCGTCTGTCTGTAATATGCTCTGATACCTATCTTCGGAGGTGTGGAAAATCCCCATTTAACAGGGTCTTTTTTTTTAACTATTCCAGCTAACAACTGTCAAAATATTTATCAGAGGTTGGAATAAAGGCAGATGTTTTAGACCTAAATAAGGTAACAATTCTAGACAGATAGCCTAAAACATTACTCTATAAACTAAATAGTTGAATAAAAAATATGAAATATGATAAAACAAGGCAAAATCATAATTCAATAAATATATACTCATTGAGTATTACTCAACAAAATATGCAAACACTATTTTTAGGGCAAGCCTGTTCAAAATGAATAACATGAAACAATTCATAAATACTTTTAATTAAGGTTTAAATTCTCTGTTTTTTTTTTTTTGCAGACAATATGCTTTAGAGGGAATAACTTTATCATTTAAACTTGTCAAATATTCAACCCATTAAAAAGAATTACATAAATCACACATGTCAAACTGCATAAAAATTAATTGCTTTAATATGTAGAATATTTCACTAGATTACCCTCTCCTACAAATTAAATTTCTGTCTGAGATAAAAAAAAAAATCATGTCTTTACATTTTTAAGTTAAAAGCCTAGTTGTATATAAAGGGAGTTTTGAAGTTTATTTGTATTTGAAACAATACTGACAGAAAAATTCCAAGAGTCATTCCAAGCAAGGTTTTAAAATCAACAACACTGTGAACTGACTGAATTAAAACAAATCACTAACCATTTAAAACACGGTATTGCACCTTCCGAATATGAATATCAAAACTCAAAAAAAAAAAAAATACTGCACTTTAAATATAAATACATCTACTTAAAAAAACTAAGTCAAACACAGAAATCTGCTCCAAATTCTGACATCTACAAATAGAATATTATGTCCGTCTTCTAATTTTATAGCTATTATAGCTATAAGATATTTTTCTAAAATTTTTGTCAACTTTGTTTAGGCAGTTGGAACAAGTCAAACAGCTGAAATTTCGAGCAAGCTAAAATATTAGTTTCTCTACAAACAGTTTAATCTTGGTTATTAAGTACTTCATGTGTTGTAACCTACAAATCAACAAGTCTTTCTGACTAAATTAAATCACTTGATTCTCAATTCTCTTTTTTCAGAAATAATGATTTTGAACAGGTATTTCAAGCAGATTGGTTGGCTTCAACATAAAAGTCTAAGCTAAAAGAAATTTTTCGTAAAATTGCCACATTCCAAACATTTAGCATAAAATCTATAAAAAGTTGCTGCACCCTGGATGACCCAGTTGAAGTTTGTCATGAACAATGTATATTACGACTGAGTGATGCACTTCGGTAGATATCAGAATGTGGAGATAGACCAGAATCTGTATCTGAGCCACTAGATCTCATATCAAACTGAGCTGGACTTCTGTATCTCAGTGATAAGGAACTTGGAGATGATCTGTAGTCAATATTATACTGAAATTAAAATGAAAACCTTGTGATTACTTTTTATCTAATTGGACATGTGAGGATATTATACACATAGGGAAAATTCTTTCAGAACTCCATTCTAACAACTATTTATTATATAAGGTTCTAAGGATTTTCAATGCACTCAGTCAGGAACACTAAAAGCTTCTTTCAATAAGTAGTCACGCACACAAGCATAAAATTCACTTTAGTGTACACAGTATAGACTTGGTGCAGATCAATGACTTACTCAAAGCGAGTTTCATTCCTTTTATATGTATGGTTCCAATATAGTTTTGTTAATTTGGTGCTTACCTTAGTTGCACAGATAAAACATGTTGTGACTATTTTAGCTATAATGTTCATTAAATTTTTAGTTTCTTGGATAGTGCTGTCAACCTAAAAAATATGTTAAGAAAGAAATTCAGTTTATTACAGTGACTTGTGGTACAACAATTAACAATATTTAAATACATCAATATTAAGGAGACTATTTATAACCACCAGGCCTCTTGGGCCTATAAGTCACTTTAATAGAGAACATTATAATCTTGTTAATGAATGTTTCTGACATAATTATAATGAATTGAAATTATTCAATAAAAGGCAAAGGTTTATGTGAACACGCAAAATGATGTTTTACTCTCAATTCAAATGCACTGTTATAAATCGCACATATAATCTTGGAAATTAGAACAGCGTAATTTAGTATCATCCTCCAGATAGTTGAAACCATTAACATTCAACTTACTTCAAAAATGTTAAGTGTTTTCTGTTTAAAGCAACAATAAGTGGCATCAATGTGATAAAAGAATCATGACCTGTAACTCAATTATATTGTGAACATATTCCTACAAAAGATATTCACAAGACACTAAAAGTAGATGTATAAATTCTTGAAAAGGTGCGCATTATATTCACAATTATACAGTAAACTGCGCTATAAATAAAACATTGATTTCAATAATAGAGTCTCAACTAAAACATGGAGTTTCCAAACTCACCTTATTAAAAGTTGGTGTTTTGCCAAATGTGGATGATTTCAGATTAAACAGTATCTGTTGACAACAGACAGGAATGCGTTCTAAATACGTTAATAATTCTTCTTTAACAGGACACACTGGAACCTGAGGGTAAATAATTTTCATGATGTCATAAGTATACAGTGTCTCCACTTTCTGTCATTCGATGATATTTAGAATTTGAAATTAATTGAAAACACAAATTTACAAGGGATAAGTAAACAGAAATATGGCAAAAATGTCCAATGTCCTAAAAACAAACCCCAAAAAAACAACATTAATCAGAATATCATTTAATAACCCCACCCAACTTACCCTCTGAGAAAAATCACGGACAGTTTTATAAAGTTTATTTCCCTCTTCAGCAAAAAATTCAGCTTGAACGAAGAGGTCTTGGGTAGTTCGTAGCGCACCCTCACCACGAGTAAAGAGGTACATAGAGAAGGCCATACTGGACATATTTTTAGCTCTCTTGACAATTTCATTATCTGGTTCCTCCCATTTATCTGTTTCTGCATCCATTTCTGATGTTATTAACTTCATTTCCAATCCTAATTTAGCAATCTTTGCTTGCTCCTGAAAATCATACAATCTCAAATGAAACAAAATATTGGCTATCAAAAGGTGAATTTTATTAATGCTAAGCAAAAACATCAGCTAAGTTCCCCACAAATTTCCTTTCCTTATGATTCGTTTCTGATTTTATCAAATATCGAGTTCTATAAAGTTCTTTTTGCAACACTTTTTTATATCAAGCAATATTTTTAGCAAAATATAGTGGAAAAATTTCATAAAAAATTATTAACAACTCCTAACACAATAAATCCAGTTGTATTACCTCAGCATCCAATCTAGCTGGACGTAATGATCGTGATGTGGTACCATGTTTCTGAAATAAGAAAAATCTCTTTTTGAAGCTCGAGCACACTATTCACTATCCAATCTTAGTAAAAGTGGTGGATGTTTCTCATAAAACAGCATGCTGATACTTAAGGACATCTGGACCTTTCAGAGAACCCACAGAGCAAATGGAGTTGTTTTGCTATCATATTAACATTCTGGATGCTTAATGCCATCATTGCATTGTCATTTTAATTAACACAATCAAAGAGCATAGCATGTTCTTAGAAACTTTATCAAAGTATCTGCTTATGAATAAGAGTTGAAGGAATATAACATTCCATTTCTTTCCCTCATCTGATATTTCACATTTATTATATTTTAAGTTTATATAAGTTTTCAGAAAACAAATAAATGGTGCAAATCTTAAAACATTGTACAATACAAAATATAATGAAAACATGAAATTTGAATGTGTCAGATAATTAAAAGAAATACAATAGATTCATCAGATAAAAAAAAAACATGACAAAAATAGTGGTATACTCATAAAATGGAAGTGCTTGAAAATGACTTAAAGAAAAAAAAGGTAATGCCAAGCCTTATCTATATGTTTATAACAGATCAGCTTTCAGGAAAATGAAATGAAATGGAGTCTTGCGTCCTTCTTTTCTGCACCATGGAAGTTTTGCCAGGACAGTGGCATTAGCCTGCTCTTGTTCGATTTCCATTTTAAGGAGTCTGTAGTACACAGGGCCTCAGTTTATTGTCCCATCCAAACAACTTGATGCCTTTCCCTTTCATGAAAAATCCGAAGGGATCATCTTGACCCATGCCGAGATTGATTCCTGGACTTTCAGGTTAGCGAGCAAGCGTCTAGCTCACTGAGCCACTGCGGCTCCCGTCGGCTTTCAGGAATCATAGAATTCAATATTATGATTCTAAAAATTCTAGATTTCATTAAATCCTTTGTTCCTTCAGGAGAAAAAATTACTTTTATGTAAGCTGAAAACAAGTCTTGAGTCGGTTGTAGAAAGGTGTACAACTTTTGATTCTTAGCAACTCTAAGAAATCTGATGGGGCATTATCAACACTGTAATAATTTTAACCAATCAGCATTCTAATTACTGTACAATATCTTAAAAACAACAATCTCCTGATCTGCTATAAAAATGTAGAAAAAAGCATGGTATTGTCTTTTAACATAGACAAACAACAAAATATGTTGATATTGTGGTTATAACTTACAGAAGATGTTAAGCTCGATACCTAAGATTAAGCAAACATAAAATAAAATACACTATGAAATTCTACTGTTACAAAAACAGATATTAGCTCTTAGGTAAGAACTGTTTCTTTTCTATGGTCACATTCACCAATACCACCAGTCATAACTTACTTAAATATACTTGTACTGCATTCATTAAGATAATGCCAAACCTATAGCCTGAGACCTTTTTTATGCAAATCAAGTTTGACAGATAATATTTGTGTTAATTGGAATGCCATCTTTAAAATAGAACAGATCGTTTAGGAATTGATTAGATGTAAATTTTAGTCAGATTTAAAAAGTACATATTTTTGTATATATACAATTTATGTCCCTTAGAGAACATTCTGATAATAGGCTGAATTTTGTAAATATAAAATATTTCCATTTGTGATATGTCAACTTAAGTAGAGTTGTAATAAATGCAAAATTCTTTAACCAATAGAGTAACCTCTTTCAAACCAATGAGACAAGGAACTACATTTGTAGAGAAAGATTTTTCAACAAGAGCAAAAAAAATGATGTTTACATATGAACATTGCATTATAATAGCAGTATTGATACATTTGGATGTTCCTTCAAAAATATCTCAAACTAGGAATTTTTTTTTCAATTTCTATATATGTCTTTTCAATATATGGCAGGATCTCAAAAAAAGACGACTCGTCTTTTTAACTTTCAAACGTGATTAATTCTGGACAAACATGAATTTGTAGGCTGAAATTTCCATGGTGAGCTGTGAACACTATTACTAAAACTTGGCATTAACTTGTGAAATTATTATACTAGTGATGTAGGCCCACTCATTTGCTCCCTAGATTTGGTTGAAATTATGCTTACCCCGGGTCTTGGTAGTGACAAATAGACGAGTTTATCCATTTTACCCAAACAGACGTCATTGACTTCTTTGACTAGTATGGAGAGATCATTGATCTGGGATTCCCATGCATCGGCAAAAACATCTAAATTCTCTCGAGCTATTTTACTATTGGGATACTGGGCTAATGTCTGTGCTGAATATAATGTCTGAAATTTAAGATCAGAAGAATTTGAAACCATTTTTTCAGAAATTTTTTCAGTACAAAAGACTAATGGTGTTTCTACAGGGGGGCCATCATGTCCAAACCACACCCCTAATCGTCACACTTCCTCAGGGTCATGGTAATACAAGTGAGGAAAATTACGTATCCATAGATAAATATTGTCCAATTAAAATTGGGCCTGGAATCTTTGTAGGAAATCTCAGCCAAACAAATTTAACCACTCATTATGACAATATGTTCGCGAACGTAAACAAAACAAAAGCAGCGTGTCATCAAATGTTTTTATTAATATGAACGATACAGAATAAAGTAAGATGTTCAGTAAAGAATTGAAGCTGAGAGAAAATAAAACCTTTAGAAAGTGGATACAACGTAATCCTATCTCTTCAAACGACTGGTGCCAAATCAATTATGTATTCAGGACATATGACATATTTTCCTTACAATTTGAAGATTAAGACTTAAAAGAATTCTTACTTACCAAAGGACCAATACTATGTATAAATGTATCATTATGCTCTGCTGTTATCACTAGTGGCTCTGTTGTAGCCATGTGTCGAAATAACTTACACACCTGAAACGTATTAGTCAGCAATGGTGAATTCAAAATGTTATCGATTGTTTCGACATTAAAGTGGTTATTCGAGGGTAAACGAATAATGAATATATCTGAAATATCATTCCTAGAGTTCCTTATTTTCTGTAGGAATCAAAATAAATGATTGATAAGATGATTCCATTTTGTATGCTAAATAAATCAAAGACCTTGAAATTAAGCAGAAAATTTTACTAGCAGAGGCAACACAAGATTTTGACTGCAGACAAAATAAACACGACAAAAGAAGAATAAGAATATTAAGAATCAATAGAAAGGAAAATTGTTTATTATATTGTTTCTACAGCACAATGCTAAGTTTAATGGAAATTCCACTGCCATATGTCACATTGCATCATATTTCACATTTCAATTAATGAAATTTTGATGTGAATTGAGATGTCACTAAATTTTCGTGAAAAATTTGCTCAAAATATGACAAGATTTCAGGGGTTTTGGGGAGAAATTTCTGGGGATTTGGGGTGAAATTTCTGTGATATTTTGATAAATTTCACTGAAAAAATTAGTCATAGTTTATTCGAAAAATAAAATCCTACATGATATAGTTGTTCGTGGTCGACTTGACCCCACCGATGATGTAGAGTGATCTAACAGAATTAAATATTCTCATTTTATTAACTGTCTTTGTACTTTATAGTATATAATAGTCTAAAACAATTTACTTTATATACCTGCAGCCATTAATCGCTTTTCTTCATCATTCCAGAAATTTGAAGCAGTCAGAGTTTTTATGATTCTGTATTTTCCACAGACAATTGTCCCAATAATGTTATTTCCGTAAATGTAGTTTACAAGTATTATGAATTTCTTTGTTAGGTCAAAGAAGATTTATAGGATAACCGTTATGATCATCTTTGATTTAGTTCATTGCATATTAGCATCACAATTATTGTAAACATAACTTTAACCCTGTGCCAGTGCCTTATATTGAATAGTAACTTGTTACTCTTCCATCACCCTAATCACTGATATTTCAGTAAAATTTTAATAAAATTTCATTGAAATTTCACTGTCATTTTCACTGGGGAGACAGTGTCAGGGCACAATGTTTTAAGCATTTGAGCAAGCCCAAAATTAACCCCATTTCAATTTGTCTTCAATGGCCTCAGCGTTAATCAAGATTGGTTGAGATTCGATTTCATGATATATTTATATTAAGCTATACATTGATTGTTGGTGCACTGATCTCACATGAGAATATATTACAGTATGCATACTCTATGAATTCTGGCATCTGAGTATTGCATCAATCTGAGATCTTTCTTTTTAGTCCAGATTGACTTCCTTCTTAAGTCAGTAAAAAACCTCTGAGTACTACGACACACTGTATATTCATATTCCCACACAAATAAGACGAAATATTCTGTATAATCAGACATTGATAATCCAACATCAAAGTACATGAAAACAACAAATCATTTGTTTCAATTCTGATGATTAAAAATTTCTTACCTCCTCTATCTGCTCCTGATGTTCATCAAATTTAATAGTTAACTCATCAACATACTCCACCTCACCATTAATACCAGCTCTCTGTAATCCACGTAATAATTCATGATCTTCATTCATTTTAAAAAGGTCTGATGCTTGTTCCATTGCTGTATCTAACAACTAAAATATAGAGTATTTATGTATAATATTTATCTTCTGTTAAGAAATATTACAATGTACACTATTTTTTATTTAAATAATTTTCGGCATATCTATAACATTGACCATTGCACATTTTTCCTAAAATGATAGTTTGTATCTGGATTTGCTTTTAACTGAATAATAATTTTTCTTTGCATTTAAACACAATTAGACACATTTTCAATGTTAGAATTTCAGGAAGAAGGAAATAGGTTGAAACACCTGAATAACATCTTCTTAGATCCAATCTGAGACTTAATCTTATTCCAATAAATTGGGCAAGTGCACAGACAAATAGGTCAAATTTTATTACAGGTGCTAAACCAGAAATATTCAAAGATACAAAGTATGTGGTGCCAATACCAACCTGTTTTCTGAGAGTTTTAGAGGATTCTATTGTTTTTAATATTGCTGTTTCTAATTCTGGTGTACATGACTGACTTCCTTTTGGACTCTACAACATAATCATTACAAATTCATTATAAAGATAAAAAGGTAAATATTCTAATTGTATGAATTAGTCCTAGTAGTTCTAGAAAGCCCACACTCTATTAATGATAATAGCCTTGTGAGCTTTATGAGAGGGCTGTTGAAGGTTGAAGACACAATATTCTATATCAAGATAGTAATAAAATGTTAAAATAATGCTTAGAAGCATGTTTCAATAATTATCTAGTTTAATGGATATATCGTCTAATATAGAGGTTCTATTCTTTAGTCATGGCACCTGGCAAGTCCAACTAATGAATATGTTGACCAAGTTTGAAAATTTTATGTCCATTCTTCGATTCTTTAAATTTTATCCTTTGGCAACAGCTGCTTCATAGGCTGGTCTGGAATTTATCACACAGTTATTCAACTGTTAGAGCAACCGCTGAAGGCCAGACTCAATAACAGATTTTAGTACAGATAAATTACTTTAGTTAATATTTTTACTTTCTGGGACTATCACTTTAACTAAAAGATTATCAACAAAACAAGAGTATATAATTTTGTTTTATTTGTTTCAAATGTCTGATGTACGTGTCATGTTTAGGTGACAGTGTCATGAGCCTCGTGCCACTGTTTACCAGTATCAAATAATCTTACTATTGACATTACAGCCACCCTTAAACTTTAGTCAACTTATCTTATGTCAATACTGATTTTCTATTTGATTGTAAACATACAAATCTTCATCTTTAAGTTCAAAATAAGATAATTAGGCAATCACTGCATTTTAGACTTTGTTTTGGGAGAAATTCAAAATACAATAGAATATTTTCAACAATATTCTTCAATACAAATGAGCTTTATACATTTATACATTTCTTTCCTGAAATTTTGTTGGGATATTCCGCTGACAGCAGAGTAAAAATTGAGCTTGTAAAATATTCTTACCATATTATGGCCAGTTTTTAATAAAGCTTTGAGTTGATTGCGTAGACTGTCGGTTAAGGTGACTATTTTCTCTCTGTTATCATGTGAGGTATAGGGAGAATCTGTGAAGTCTTGGACACCTTCTACCACTGCATCAATTCCAGCCTGGAGCTTCTCTTCTGTTGCTGGTCCAATTAGCGTGATCCTTGTTAACTCTACTTGATCCTACAAAACAGATTTCCATTGGTGCATCAAAACAAGTTTTGCTTCTTTTCAGTCAGTTCACTTTGCAACAGTAGTATTCCATCTTACACTCCCATGCCATATACACATATTATGTGTTAGCATATGTTCACCACTCAGATACTGCCAGGTCATTGTCAAATTCAGGTCTTTCTTCATTCATTGTATTTCTAAATGCAATTACCATAAAAATTGGAATCAAGGAAATGGTATAGTTTATAACCATTTTAGAATGTCCCTTCACTGTAGATGTGAGTCCACACCTAATCAACAGATTTGCTGAACTAAATTAAAGATGGGTTCCCTTATTTTCATTTATGAATTGAAAATGCTATTACTGATATGAATAGAAATTAGAGGTATTCTAATGACTTGGAAGTTTGTCTACATGTCCATAATTAATTCATAATTAGCTAAATTAGAGGAGAATTACCAGCAGAATTCCAATGGGTGACCGATCAAGAAAGGTCCAAAAAGGTTTTTTTTTGTTTATCCAGACTGTACATACATTTATGATTAGTTAAAACACTTAATTATATTATGCAATAAGAACAAAATGATATGATTAAGAATACATGATAATTTATTAGAAACCAAACTAATAGTTTGCTTAATTTGACACTAAAAATTGAGGAAACCCATCTTTAAAGGGATTAGGGGCAAACTAATTGTCATATAAAATCACGTACAATATTTATCTTGTACTAACCTCAAAATCTTTAAAAGCACGACTGGCAGTAGGTTGAGAAGTGTTTAAAGCAATACCAGAATCACCATTAGCTGTAGGAGAGGAGTTTCCATTCATGAAAAAACCTGTACCGTCAGTTACTATATGTTGTAATAAGTCTAAAGCTCTTTTCATTTGTATAAAAACACCATCCCGATTCCGTCTGGCTGCTTGACAATCAGGGTGACGTAGGCAAGTCTAAAATAAAAGAATTGTGAATATATATGAGGTTAATATTTAGAAAATCACAGACTAAGAAGCTAAACAAATATAGCAATCTAACAGCAGCAGTAAATATTTCCTACCTTAGAAGCTGTTAATAACATCATGGTAGATTTTTCTAAAATGGCTCTAGCTGATCCCATCTGGGCACGATGTTTCTCACTTTTTAAATCCTGTAATAAAAACATTAAACACATGAGATTATTATTGTTAAATACATGTCTAATGTCTGCTGCATGACAATAATAAAATCAGTTAGAATCGGAATACATTAGATTCCTGATGTAAAATTAATAATACCATAATCTAATAGGGTTCATTATATATAAATATATTTATATATCCTATTTTTTTTTAAATCTTGAACATTGTATAGAAACTTGGAATGGTTCAAACTGAAATAATACACACACAAATGACACACAAATCAAGAGTACAATCTTTTGTTCAATTCTAAAGTGTTTTCTTCTTATCAAAATTTGTGTGTAGCAGTTAACAGATACTTACATTTTGTCGATCACCAGAGAGATGTGCCAGTTGAACCATGTCGGTACCAAACTGACTGAATGATTTAACAAACTCTGTAAAGCTATTGACTGACTCTACCACTAATAAACTTTGTAGTACCTAAATAGATAGAAATAAATAAAAACATGCAATTACTTTGTAGATTTTTTTTGTCACATTAAAAATGTAAATTTGATATATTTTGTAGTTTGTTCACAAAAATGATATGAAAATACAAAACAACTCTCTTCTAAATTAAAAATGCTTTTGGTTAGTGACTTTTCCTGTATGATACTTGGTGAAAAATAAGTCTTAAAAGGTATGGTAGGGAAAATAAAGGAGCATGCATTATACCTTATCTTTAGCTTGTAACAACTGTTTGACTACAATTCTATCAGCTAACAATAATACTTTAGTAATGGCTGACAATAATTGGCGAGCAGAACGTATCATAGCTGACTTGTCTGCTAAATGTTTAGCTAAAGCATCCATACCATTCTGAATAGGGTGATCTAATCTGGTGGCACTCTCTATGTTACATCCTACAAACAAATAAAAAAAACATTTATATCATGTTGTTAACTTAAACCACCAAAATATTACCATGGAAGTTATTTTTAGCAAAATCTACATTTTCAACATATTCCTTTTTTTTTTCCATGTCATTTTTCTTCAACTACAGATGAAATGATCCAGATACCAGAACTTCATTTTGGAAAGTGTTATTCTTTGTGGTCCTAGCAACATATACTGATTAAATAGACACAAATCTTAATTTGTACACTATTTTCATACTTACCTGCCATTTTAGCTTCAAGGCAAGCATCCAGCATGTCATCTCGTATTTCCACATTTTCATCAGCTATTGACTCTCCTACTACTACAAATCTTTCTACAGCTATATTCACTAACTGTCCAACTTTAACTAAGGCTCGCTGTGACTTCTCACTTACTTTCGTCTTGTCTTTATGATTCACTAAGGTGGTGATCTGAAAAAATATAAGCCAAATCTAATTAAACTGTTGAAAGAAAGTTGGTTGTAATAATTTCAGACAAAATATAATCAATAATAAAATCTTGCAGAGTAATAAAAATCATCCTTGAACATAATTAATGAAAAGCTTCAAAGATTAAATCATATCAGTAGACAATCTGATCTGCTCTGGCAATTTTCTAGTTTGTTACAATTGGTATGCCATCAAAGTTTATAAAACTTCTGGTAAGACATAACTAAATCAATCTAAGATAAACAACTGAGACTATTACAGGAATCTTACATTACATAAATACAACCAAGCAACAAGCAAAAAATACAAGCTGTTTCATTCAAACATTCATTAAGAATGACCTAATCCCAAATGTATAAATTTTCAAGGTATAAAGCAACTCTTTCAAAGCTTTTGTCATTGCAACAAATATTTTCCTAGATCTGCAAAATTCAAAAAAGAAAATCACCAGTGATCTTGGCCTTCCTAAAACCATATCCAAAATTCATAACACCAGATACATAAACAATGAATCACCGATTGAACTCAATCAGTAAGGTGGAAAGTCGGCTTGCAGACTGAGAATCAGAGATACGAGACAATTCCACTGGCACCAAAGAATGAATCATTGTCATAGAATTAACCCTTAAGCTGCCAGTATTGAATAATACAGAGTACAGTCATCAGTTTCACTATCAACATACCCAGAGTCAATTCAAATTAACACAAGGTTAACACAACAGTAAAGTGGTTAATGCAAGGTCCATGCACTCTTTCAAGATAGATAATTTGGCTGTTTTTGACAGTCTGATTGGAGCATTGAAATAAGCAAAGTTAAAAATTTGACTTTAACAGTTCTGCAAAGGTTGGTGTCTTAATATTAATAACAGAATGTTGATTTGACTATCGTTAACAGTTACTCATATTTCTCAGATATCATAACAGTAATAGGCAAAAATGGTCTACTTCACTATCTGTTGGGAAAATAAAACCACAGGTCCCACAATTGCTACACATATTAAACAGACAGACAATACGAATACAACTGTCCTGGTCAATTCCCTCATTGTACATGGTTTAATTGACTACCAGATTGCTAACTTAAGGAGAAAAGGTGAAAGAGTAGATTTTGAATATAGAATCCAAGCTAGTACCAAGGTGTTTCATCAGAGTCATCTCTTTACTCTCTCCTATAATGTCATGATGTCCTTAGACCATAATAATCATATTCTACTAGAAAATAAGTCAATCAGAAAAAAAATCAATTTTTGTCCTGGGATATAATTCTGAATAATATTCACTTGATTTATTCAGAGTATGGTAATCTTTGGCTGTCAGAACCAGGAATATTGTAAATGACAACTGTTCCTTTTGAAACAAACACTAATGATTTCATGCACATAAGAAAAGCAAGAAGGTCTTTATTGTTTTTCAATTCTTTCAATACATGTCAACTTGTTCGGTTGGGTTATCGGAAGAAATTTCTAAATTCTGAAAAGAGTAAGCTCACTCTGCCTTAGCTGACTTGATAAGAAACAATGAGTTGGAGTACCAACTATGTTGTCGGGTCCTGCAGGATTAATGATTAATGATTCTTTATCCTTTTATATGATAATCTTATCAAAAGCAGATTATCACAAAAATCAATGAGGTCAATAAAAGAAGGCAGCTTAAGCACAGGATGACCACATTGATTGTTGATAATACCCATACAACAAGGAGATATAACATAAAGACGTGAGTAAACAAGGTAAGGTGTCCAGTGCAATGTGTCTGACTATATAGATAGTTTCTATGGAATGCATATTTGTGCAGACTACTTAACTAGCCTGTTTTTTTAAGTTAATCCATCATAAAGTGATTCAAGAACCGTGGACCATCTTCAAAAATAGGTAATGCTTAGTATTCTTAAAAGCAATAGGAACACCTGATAAGATCTATATTGATTCCTTAGAAAACCAAATAACAGATCCTTAAAAATTTGAAGAAAAAACTGCAGTGATAACCAACTGAAAGAAGAAGAGAAGACATAGCCATTAAATGTTTTCCGGATTTGGTGATCTCTAGAAATGAAGGAAGAAAGACAATGATTGATTGAATGTAGTTTTATTCTCAAGACATTTAACGTAAGGCCACAAAATATCTTAACTTCGTTGCTCGTCCTGCTTCCAGACAAGAAGACAGCCTAAACAAATATCTGCATTATAACATGACATTACTTACATCCACAAAATAATCAAACAACTTTATCCTTGTCAAGACTAAAGACTTACTCCATTTTGATCACTCAACATAAACAAATCATTAACTAACTTCACTCTAACCAAGATAAAACAGTCCTTATATAATTTCTGGCAGACAAAAGTAATTATTTTTATTTTCTTAATAGATGAAAATTCTCATTGTGTCTTATATCATTGCTCTTTATTTATTCAATCGTGAATTACAGACTTCAAATTTCCAATTGTAATTGTAATGGAAATTTGTCTTGTCATTGAGAAAATTCTGGAGAAGTAATATGTACTTCCTAATGGCTATAGAATTTTTGGTTCACATGTGTATACTTATGTTTGAAATGTCAAGAGACGTAAAACTAGACCCTGACTTAAAATAATCAGTTACAGAGTGTATAAGCCAATCATGTCCCAGTTGAGCTCAAAGTGATCAGTTAGCCATGTTAATGTTAACAAAAAGTTTCAAAGACAATTTGATATCTGTCAATGTCCAGTAGAATCATTCCGCAGTCAGGTAGATTAAGATGTAAATCAGGTGTAAATTTCTATAGGTGGTGAAAAACGTTTGGTGTTCGAACATAAACACCTTAGTCATGTTTATTTCTGATAAATATTTACAGGTTACAGGTTAACTAGAGTCTAAACACATTTCTTTCATCAGCAACAGAAGGCAGGCAGATGAGACTTACCCCAGTTAGCAGCACTTCTGTAAAGGAGACTGGAAAACTTTAAATTGTTTGCCTTGGGAATGAGCAGAAGTGGAAAAGAAAAATTGATCCATTTTTCAGTACAAAATTAGGGAGGTTTATTATCTCCAAGTGGGGATATTCATATTGATATCAATTAGAAATGTCAGAATAGGGCCAACTTTCCAAAGTTTTCTGTTTAAACAAAGCAAAACCCACTTGATTTCTTGAAAGCAGATATGACACAAATGAGGCCAGTCTCATTTTATATATATATTATAATAGTGGCCATTCACTGATCTTCTGATTTTGAGAATGAAAACAAACAAGGAAAATGTGCTATTACTATTGAAAAATAAACAGAGAGTGTTACTATACTACAAGATAAACATGTTAGAATTGTAGAGTACATGTTGTATAAACAAACACTCTGCTAGACAGACTGGCAGCAATCAATTTTCATAAATAAACTACAACAATAACTTAATGAGCTTTAAATGCATAGGTTCCTTATTTTTGGGAGTAAGCCTCACCTTGGTCTCAAAAACAGAAATTGTTCAGTTTAACTAAACAGTAATAGTATTCACAGCTTACAGGCGAAATGTTAGTGTTTCTATCCATACTTATCCATAATTAACCATGTTTGAAAGTTATTTTATCAAGTTAACTTTTTAAGAGCCTCCATTTTAAACTACAATAAAGACTTTATAAATGAAAAATTATTTTACAGAAATGCCATTGGTATTTTCTCTTGTAAACTTTATCAACAAAATATACAACTTTCAGATACCACAATTTTCAGCATTGGGATAAGCTTGTAATCGAAATTTATATAAAGATAGCTTGCCAGGCAAGATAAGATTATGCCCACTACCAGTTGTCAGAAATAATAACAAAGTTTTTAGTGGCTAAATAATTAAATAATGATTTTCAAATAATGTCTCATAGATACATAACTCTGAAACTGTTCATCCAATTATATCCAATTTCGAAATAAACCGTTATCTCATCAATATATAAATTATTACCAAGTTACCAAGATTTGATCAAATCTGTAGTTTCTATCGTGCCTACAAGCTAAATTTGACGCTTTTACTAAGTCAAGGGCAATAACTCTGAACCGTTCACTCTGAGATTGTTACAAATTTCGAATTTGACCGAGATCTCATCAATATATACAAGCATACCATGTTTCATCAAGATCAGATAAAAACTGTAGACTCTATCGTGCCTTTAAGCCTAGGACAATAATTCTGAAACCATTCATCCAACTATTATCAATTTTGAACTTGACCAAGATCTCATCAATATATAAATACGTACCAAGTTTCATCAAGATCACATAAAAACTGTGGTCTCTATTGTACCTACAAGAAATGTGAACGGACAGACGGCTGAAAGTGAAATTTCATAGTAAAGGCCCAAATCAATAAAGATGAAATATAAGAAATGAATAATACCAAATGTCTTAACAGATGTATATAGTAATTAAAATCTATTCTAATGAAATATTTACTATTAATATAACATAGCTACTAACACCTGTTGGTTAATACATCATTAACATATGCCTTAATATCCTGTCTGATACCTTGACCTGCAAATCTTGAGGGCTGGGTATGAGACTGATCAATAATCACAATTATGAATTCATAGCAATTCATGATCATCATCATTATTTTAGTGATAGTGATCTGTGAGCTATCCATACCAATTTACTTTTCTCCCAGTGATCAACTATGGTAAATTATTGTGGGTGATTATTATACTGATGAAATATGATCAACAAAGTTTATAATTAGCTCATGCCAAAAACACTTCACTTGTTTACACAATGTTATCCAATTTATGACTTGCCAAAAATAATATCATTTATTAATATTGACAACTTATCTATTTATAATTACATTGAAATACAGAACTAAAAATAGCATGCACTTATCAATTTGAAATCTTAACTCAAAGCAAAACTTAATACTCATACTCTTATGAGTAAAAACTTTTTTAGCCAAAGTAAATAGATTCAGACAAATGAATTTGTTCCAGAAAAAATCTATCAAAGCAATTAAATGATTCAATGCCT